CAACACTGCCAATAGACTCAACACTGCACCATAGACTCAACACTGTCCATAGACACAGCAGTGCCCATAGACGCAAAGCTGCCCTTGCACATTAAGCAGTCCCCTCCTTAGCATCCTTCCACTCCTCTCTTAAAGACTCCCCTCTTCTCCATCGCCCATTGCTTCCTCTTCCCGACCCGAGCGCGTTCGTGACGCCAACGTGCCCTCTGTTACAGTCACTCGACCATCAGCCGTTGCACTGCCCTTGCCATCGAAACTACTCGATTTTTGTTACCGCTTTTAAACGTTCTTATAGAGGTCCTTGAGCCAAGGCGTGCTCTATAAATGTGAAATAAAATAAGATGCCTTTCAACAATTTGAGTGGGTGGCCAGAATCCCCAAGCGATTTCCAGTGCCTATTGAGTTCATAGCACGAGAATATTGGGAGTCCGTGACAAAGCGATCATAATGAGATCAAACAGAGAGAGGGAGAGTTCGTGTTGAGCTCTCACAACCCAGCTGCTCCTTCTTCCTCTCCAGACTTTACTCACTCTTTGCTGCCTTTCTATCCCTTTTATAACTGCCCTTCAACTCCATTAACTGCCCTTCAACTCCATGAACTGCCCTTCAACTCCATTAACTGCCTTTCAATCCTTTAACTGCCCTTAAACTCCCTTAACTGCCCCTTTTCTAGAGCCCATTCCTCTTCCCTCCCCTCGCCACTCCTTCCTGCCCCTCCTTCTTCTGAGGAGCATTCGTGCATTAGTAATTCTGTTCAGATGCACAGCAATCAACCCCAATTCACACCATCTCACTGCTCAACCCCTGTACAGGGTCCACCCGAATCTGAATAGGTATCCTGTTCCCTGAATTGATTACTCTCCTGGTGGGCGTGACCTTCTGTGCACTCAAGTGACCCTATGGGCCCAATCCATGGTCATTATTACTTTAATTCACAATTATACTTGTGGTTCATTTACATTAAGCCCTTACCGCTACACGAGTGATACTAAAACAAACAAAAAATACAATAACCCAGGTTTTTACTGAAAAATCAACACACACTCATACTCATACAGATCAATGCACATCCTTTAAATGATAATAATCATCGTCATCCTTGATATGTTCACTCACAGATGAAGGATTCTAACAGCCCCTGCCAACTCCGATTAACACAGCTGGCTACATACGGTGCAAAATAAGTTCAACATACATACAGCTCTCATGTGAGTATGATCCGATTTCACCACTCCGTCTCCGCGGCGCTTGAAACCCCCACCAGTTGTTGCAATGTGTCCAACAGATTCGACCTGCATCATTTAAAATCTCGAGTTTAAATGTATTTGATTAAACTTGTGGAAAGGTAGCAGAATGTCAGAGCTTACTGGTAGATGAAGCAGTGGTGATGGGCGCAGCCTTAAATGGAAGAGTGGGAAGAGGTAAGGACGGATATGAAAGGAACCATGGAGGATGGGGATATGGTAGTAGGAATGGGGAAGGAGAGGACATTCTTCGAATGGCCCAGGCAAATTATCTTGCAGTGGTGAAAATCTACTTCCAGAAGCTTGAGGGACATTTGATGAATTACCAGAGTGAAGGGGTTACGAGCCAGAGAGATTTTATTTTGGTGAGGAGGAAGCACCTGCAAGGAGTGAAGAACTGCAAAGTGATCCCTGGAGAGTGTGTGACTTGACAACATAGACTACTGGTGGCAGATTGCATAGTGAAAAGAGTTAGGAAGAGGGAGGTGAGGCAAAAGAACTGTAGCAGGGTGAAGTGGTGGCGACTAAATAATGAGAAAGAAACTTCCACACACAAGCTATGGAAATTTTTAAAATCGTAAGGCGTAGGGGGATCGTGAATTACATATGGGAACAACTGGTGAGTGGAATATTGAAAGCAGCAGGTCGTACAGTGGGAGTGAGAAAATAAAGACAGACATAACAGACGAAAAGATGGTGGTAGAGTAATGAAGTGCAAAAAACAGCTAGAGAAAAAGGCCAAGTTAAATAAGTGGCAGAACACGAGAAAGAAGGACCATCTGGATGAATACCTGACAGCAAGAAGAGCGTGGTAGCAATTGCAAAACAACAGCATTTGCACAACTCTACCAGAAGCTTGACAGCAAAGAAGGCGAGAAGATGCTATACTGTTTGGCAAGAGCCATAGAGAGTAAGACCAAGCACTTTGACCATGTCAATCTCATTAATAACAGTGAATGACGACCAATTTTGGATGAGATAAAGGTTAGATAGAAATGGAAAGAGTACTTTAAGACGTTTCTGAATGTGGAAATCCCAAGACGCAAAATGGTTGAGGGAGATCAAAGATTTGAAGTAGTTGCAGATACTAAAACCAGAGAAGAGGTAGTGGAATCTCTGGGGAGCATGAAACATCAAAAGGCAGTGGGGCAATATGAGATTCTAATTTATGTGTTTAATTTAATGGGAGAAACGGGTGTTCAAACATTGATGGGGCTGTTTGGGAAAATCTCGATGGAGAAGAAAATGCCGGATGCGTGGAGAGAGAGAGAGAGTACTATGGTTCCCATCTTTAAAGAGAAAAATGATGTACAAGAGTATGGGAACTACAGAGGAATAGCATTGATGAGTCACACCATGAAACTCTGGGAAATTATCATAGAAAAGAGACTCATAAAGATGGTGTATATTGGCAAGAGTCAGTTTGGATTCAGACCATAGTGGCTTCAATCTTTGGACTGAAAGTAATGATGGAGAAGTTTATATGGTGTTTATTGATGTAGAGAAAGCGTACAGCAGGGTGCCTCGAGAGCTCATCTGGTGGTGTATGATAAGAATAGGTATTATTGATGTATATGTCCGACTGATTCAGGATATGAAGGAGGAAAAATGCACGTGCGAAACAGTTGTGCAGTGTCTTAGAGCTTTCAAATCAAAGCGGGAGTGAAGCAAGGTTCTGCCCTGAGCCCTTCCTGTTCATTCTGGTGCTGGGCACAGTAACGAGAGATATTCAGAGGGAGCCCCACTGGTATATGCTGTTTGCAGACGACATTGTGCTATGCGATGAAAGCAGAGGGGTAGTGGAAGATGATTTCAGATATGGGTTTAATAATATTGAAGGGAGTTGGTTGAGGATTAGTCGGACAAAGACTGATTATACGGTGCCAAATTTCAGTGGAAATCATGCAGGAGAATTGTAAATTGGAAGTGAACAGTTGATAAGATGAACGAGTTCAATTACCTGGCTGAAACGATGTGTGCTGATGGATCACTAGAAGAAGAGATGAGAACAAGGGCTGGATGGCTGAAATGGCGAGAGATGACTGGTGTGGTGTGTGATAAGAGGGTCCCAGTTTGGTTGAAGGTAAAAGTGTACAATACTGCGGTGAGGCCGGTGCTGTTGCATGGGGCCGAGTGCTGGGGCCCAAGAAAGAGGGAGGACCAAGCTATGGCAGTCACAGAGATGAGGATGTTGCTGATTTAACAAGGAAGGACAGGGTGAGAAATGAAGAAGTGAGAGGAAGACTCAATGTGGTAGAAATTACAGAGAAGATAATATATAAAAGGCTGTTGTGGTTCGGTCATGTGGAGAGACTACAGGAAAAGTATGTGGACCAGAAGGTGCAAGTGATGTAAGTGGAAGGAAATAAATAAGGAGGAAGGCAGAAGACGAGGTGGGGCGATGTGGTGCGATCGGCCATGGTGGCCCGAGGAGCAGAAAGAGAGATGGCGCCGGACAGGGCTGCTTGGAGAAGGTTGGCAACGACAGCGGATCCCACATGAGTGGGACAAACGTGTGGAAGAAGAATAGTTTTAGTTTTTTCTTGAAACTCTGTAATGTTATGTTAAATAGTTAACTTAACGCGCTTTGCACTAACATATTTCCACATATTTATACACTTTTACATATTATATACGCAATTATTTCTACTAAATTATAAACGTAATAATTATGTAATATAATTATATTTGCCATGTAATTATTATGATTATTGTATTTCGTTGTGAGATGCAATTGGCATGAATGACGCAAAATAAAATGTAATCAATTATATGAGCCACATCTAGACATTCAGTGGGTTTTTATTAGCTACATATAGACATCCTGATGTAAGCGACGTAAAACTGTGAACATTTTCTTATTTGACCAGGTAAGGCCCGCTGAGCTCTGCAGCGCTTTATCAGAAGTGACCTTGCTGTCACAAATGATAGCTCAAGAAAGTTGCTTATCAAATGGAAATTTATAGCAGCAGCCAAAAACTTCATCATATTGACATATTGACATAATATTGACGGGAAAAACAGTCAACGCGACATATCTTACCTTTTTAAATAAAGTGCAGTATGTATTGTTTTCTCATTGTATAGACAGGTCTATGATTATCTTAAAGTCTTAAAGTCTTAAAGTCACTTTATTGTCAAGTGTGTTACATGCATGACATACAACACAGATGAAATTACAGTCCTCTCTCTTGGTCTCACGGTGCAACCAAGCAATTAAAACATTAATCACAATTAACAGACATAAATAAACAATAAACAATCGGCGATCAACACAAGATAAATAATCAAAAATGTAATAAACTTAAAATAAACAACAGTCAAGAATTTTTAAAATGTAAAATATTATTTAAATAAAGTATTTAAAGAAATAAGATATTTAAACCAGTGTGGTAGTGCGATGTAGTGCAATGTGCAGTCCAGAGATCAGGATGTACGAGTGAATGTGTGTGTGTGGGGGATGGGGTCAGGGGGCAAAGGGGGGTGGGTGGGCAGAGGGGGGGAGTGATGGTAGAGCAGGGAGGGAGTTGAGTCTCCTGACAGCCTGGTGAAAGAAACTGTCTTTGAGCCTGCTGGTCCTGGCTGGAAGACTCCGCAGTCTCCTCCCTGACGGCAGCAGGCTGAAGAGGCTGTGAGATGGGTGGGATCACCTGCAATCTTGATTGCTTTGCTGGTGATGCGGGTGTTATAAATGTCCAGAAGAGGCGGGAGAGAGACACCAATGATCCTCTCAGCTGCTCTCACTATGCGCTGCAGATTCTTGCGGCAGGACACGGTGCAGGTGCCGTACCACACGGTGATGCAGCTCGTCAAGATGCTCTCAACGGTGCCTCTGTAGAAGGTGTGCATGATGGGGGCAGGGCTCCTGCTCTTCTCAGTTTGCGGAGAAAATACAGGCGCTGTTGGGCTTTTTTGGCCAGTGATGCAGTGTTGTGACTCCACGACAGGTCTTCAGAGATGTGCACACCCAGGAACTTGGTGCATCTCACCCTCTCCACTGCAGCACCGTTGATGGTTAGCGGAGTATGCTGGGTGTGCACTCTCCTGAAGTCCACGACAATCTCCTTCGTCTTCTCAACATTCAGGTGGAGATTGTTGTCCTTGCACCACGTGGCCAGCCTGCTCACCTCACTCCTGTAGTTTGTCTCATCACCGTTTTTGATGGCATCCACCACAGTTGTGTCATCCGCAAACTTAATGAAGAGGTTGGAGCTGAATGATGGTGTGCAGTCGTGGGTCAGCAAAGTGAAGAGGAGGGGACTCAGCACACATCCTTGGGGGACCCCTGTGTTCAGTGTGATGGTGCTGGAGGTGTTGCTGCCAACTCGAACTGCCTGTGGTCTCCCTATCAGGAAGTCCAATAGCCAGTTGCACAGGGAGGTGTTGAGCCCCAGGTGGTCTAGTTTGTGGATGAGCTGCTGGGGAATGATTGTGTTGAATGCTGAGCTAAAGTCGATGAACAGCATTCTGACGTAGGAGTCTTTAGTCTCCAGATGGGTGAGAGCTGAGTGGAGGGTAGCGGAGATGGCGTCATCGGTTGAGCGGTTAGACCGATACGCAAACTGGAAAGGGTCCAGGGCGGGGGGAAGGACAGACTTGATGTGTTGTAGGACTAGCCGCTCGAAGCACTTCATAAGGATGGGAGTGAGTGCGACCGGGCGGTAGTCATTGTGGCAGGAGGGAGATGACTTCTTCGGGACCGGGATGATGATGGTAGCTTTGAGGCACGTGTGTACAACAGCCTGTCTCAGCGAGGTGTTAAAGATGTCGGTGAAGACATCTGTGAGCTCCTCCGCACAGTCTCTCAGGACACGACCCGGAATGTTGTCAGGGCCCTGGGCTTTCCTTGGGTTCGTCCTTTTGAGGGATCTCCTCACGCTATCTGGGGATAGCGTCAGCACCTGATCACCGGGAGGTGGTGGAGTCTTCTGTGCTGGGGTGCTGTTGTCTGCCTCAAAGCGAGCGAAGAAGTCCTTCAGCTGGTTCAGCAGAGAGGTGGAGCTGTCACAGGTCTGCGAAGAGGGTTTATAGTCCGTGATGGTCTGCATCCCTCGCCACAGGTTCCTGGTGTCTCTGCTGTCATTGAAGCGGTCGGCGATCCTCCTGGAGTACTGCCTCTTGGCCAATCTGATGCCTCGCGACAGGTTGGCCCTGGCTGTCTTCAGGCCCATCTCCTCGCCAGCTTTGAAGGCGGCGTTCCGAGCCCTCAGGAGCCTGTGGACTTCCCCTGTCAGCCATGGCTTCTGGTTGGCCCGAATGGAGATGGTTCTGGTGACCGTGACATCCTCCATGCACTTCCTCATGTAGGAAGTGACGGTCTCCGTGTACTCCTGGAGGTCTACGGTGTTGTTGTAGGTGGCTGCAGCATAAATGTAATGATGGTGCTCTGAGTAGTCGTACAATTGTGCCGGAAAGACGCAACACCGCGTGTTTTTAAGCAAAAGAAAATGTTTAACTTGACTTGACTCGCCCAAGTTCTCGATTGATTTGTATCCCTCGTTCTACATGACAGCTTGATTTCAACCGTGAGCAGGGGCACGAAAGAAGGACCTCAACATCTGCTTTGCATCCCTCAACGGTGTTCCCTTCCTCCGTCGTTAACCTCACAAGAATGCGGGCGCTCATTGCCTTCATGCAAAATAAGTAAAAAGAGCTGCCAACATGCAAAATCCATGACGAGAAACTTCGATTGACCTAACTTTAACAAATTATATCTACCATCACGATGTGGACATTTATAGCGGCCAAACACTATAAAGGCCAAACACTATAAAGGCGTGATGTTGATTCTGCATGTGGAACTGTCAGCGGGACTCGAACTTGGGTCTCTGCCGCGTTCCTAGCGCAGCCCAGGGCCCTAACCGCTGAGCCATCGCCCCGTGCAACGACCACACACACACAGCGCCACATCTCAAGGTGCGGGGTTTAATTTTGCTTTCTTTTTTCAACAGCAATCATATAAAATGCGTTTTTTTCTTTTTCTGTTTGTCTCTTTTTGCCCTCATCGCGCGAGATAAATAAAAATCTCGAGGTGTGACTGAATTTGCATGAATCGGCCGCCTTTATGAAAATCATTACAAATTTAACCCCTCCCCCCGCCCCGCCATGGAAAATTATTCAAATTGATTCAAATATTTTGACTATAAAAAATGTAGCACGCGCCATCGGATTGTCATCACTGGAGAAGCGGCCGTTGTGGAACACGAAAGAGCGCCTCCGATTAGCGCAATTGGGTACGTACGGTGCGAAAGATGTTCACCTTACACACATAGACATATTTACGGAGAGATAATCCCCATGGCCCGCGCAGTGCGTAGGGAGAGGGGAAACTTGTCGGGTGATGATGGGTTTTTGTTCTTCTCGGCAGTCACAGATTTGACTCTGGAGAGATGACGATGGCAATCCTCGTCCGACTCGCCGCCGCCATCCTCTTCGGCTTCGTGGCTGCCACCGGAGCCCTCTCCTCCGTGGGCCCGCTGGAAAAGGCCAACAAGAAACTCTGCTCCGACAAGTACATCGTGGTGCCAACCATTACAGGTTAAACTAAACTATATTTTAGTTTAAGCAGGTAAAGCTCACTGAACTATACAGCTCTTTTTCAGAAACGACCTGGCTATCAAAAATGATTGCTCAACGTGGACATGTATAGCAAATGAGTGCTCTAAACGCGTGATTGTAATTCTGAATGTCGAGCGAAACACCGGAGGACCCACAGAAAAATCCACGCGCCCATGGGCAGAACCCGCAAACTCCAAATATAGAGCAGGTGTCCGGGTCGGGATCGAATCCACGACCTCCTGTACACCAGAGGAGGTGGTTAACATCTCCGAGCCACCGTGGCAACGGGAGGCAAAAGGCAGAGGCACAAAGGAGTGTCTGAGATCCTTAATACGTGCGTACGGATGATGAACTCGTGTAGTGTATAGTGTATAGTAATGTAGTAATGTATGGTAGTGTAGTGCATAGTAGTGCAGTGTACAGTCGTGTAGTGTACAGTAATGCAGTGCATAGTGTATTATAAAGTAATGTAGTGTATAGTAATGTAATATATAGTAAATATTGACTTAAAGCTTTTGTGACTGCAAATCAAAATAGATAGGTTCAAATAATTATTTCATTTTCTATGAACCTATCTACGTGATTCTTTGGGTCTTTCGGTACGTGACTTTACCAAAAGACCTAAAGAATATAGTGCATAGTAGTTCAGTATATAGTAGGGTATAATGCAGTATATAGTGTAGTGTTTAGTGTAGTGTATATTAGGGTAGTATATAATAGTGTACTGTATAATGTAGTGGACAGTGGAGCGTATCGTAGTGTAGTGTATAGTGTATGTATTTTGAACTTCTTTTGCACGGTACGTCGCCGACCGGGCTAATCGGAGGGGCGGGGGAAGGACAATAAAATAAACACGACGTCTCCCCAAAATGTGTCCATGGGGAGCGGTAGTGCAGTGGTTAGCGCCTTGTGTTACGAACCTGGCAAACCGAGTTCCATTCTCGCTCATAGCCAACACCAGTGACGAACATCTGAATCGGTCTTGGGTCTCCCCTAGGTTGGTTCAGCCTAAAACGAGTACCTGCTGCGGTGTGTAGTAAACATCGCCAATGGGGAGACAAAGGCGGCCAGGCATGGTACTGGCAAACCACCCCCTTGTGTGCCGTGCCAGCCATCATGGTTTCTGCTACTCGCTAACAGCACTTGCCCCAACAGTTTGTTAAGGCTACATGGGGGATCTTTGTCTTTGTCCGTCTAGGTGTGGCTGGAGAGAAAGGAGACCAAGGAATTCCTGGGATACCTGGGGTGCAAGGCCCGCCTGGACCACCTGGTAGGACAATCCCACCGAGTTGTCTGTATTTACATATGGAGTGCCTTCACTCACATAGCTTACAAAACAGTGAAACAGAACAGAATGACTTTAGATGGTAGGAGCGTGCAAGGGATGAAATATGATGGTGGGCGTGCAGGATTTGGGTAGGGGAGGGACGGGAAGGAGTGGAGGTGGCGAGGATGGGGGAGAGAATGGGCAGTGTAGAAGAGGTAACGCTAGAGAGAGGAACAGCACGAGGTTAAGGAGGGGGCAATGTTGAGTCTCTGGGTAGTGTTGAGTATATGGGCAGTGTTGGGTCTAGGGGCAGTGCTGAGACTACACGTGGCACTGTACCAAACCGAAGCTTCCAGCGCTCCTGTATTGATAGCAAAATTAAAATACATATACATGTGTAGGGGGTTACTCGGCACTCACCACTCTGTTGGCTGGTAGCTCCTCCTTCTCGTCAATAGGGGGCGGAAGCGCTATCACGCCAGTGTTAATGACCATTGCCCAAAGGGCCAACGACAATCCATGGGAAGCGGATCCTGGGACACATTCCCTGGACCCCGAAAGGGGGGACCGGGGGATAATGCACCTTCCAGAAAGTTCTGGAAGGGAGGTGTGGCTAGGGTGGAGCAAGCCACGAACCAGTATATAAGCCGGACCTCTCAAGGGTCTGGCTCAGTCATCTCCAAGACGAAGACTGAAGACCTGGGCTGAAGTTAGGACCCTGGACCCCAAGCTCTGCCGTCCTTCTAAGGGCCGGAGCTCAGTGAGGCAAATGGTCAGGACCCGAAGACCTGGTACGGTCGGGTCAGCATAGCCTCTCCTAGGACCCCAGTCAGAGGACGGAAGGTTACCGGGATTCCCAGTGCTAGGGTCCGTGCAGTCCGGAGGCCATACCTCTCCAGGTATCGGGTAAAGGGGCCGCTACCCCTTTGTGTTAGGGACCTTGTATAATAGAACCAAATAAATATCGTGTTGCCTCACAAGAAGTTCCCCGTCAATTATTACCCACTGTACAT